TGTCACCACTTACCGGTTTCGGTATTCTCGTGCTCCGTGTCGGTGAGGGTGAGGTTGGAGTTGGCCCGGCTCGACAAGCAGGAGCTGCGGCCAGACTTGGTGTTGCGTCCCCAGAGCCTCACGGGATGCTCGGGTGACATGACCACGTCGGCCTCTGTGTCAGCATCCGAGCCGGCACTGATGGAGTAGCCGCAGTGGGGCAGCCCAATATCAGTCCGGTACAAAGTCCCATGTGTGGGCGTCACGTCTTCAAGACCCAGCTCTCGCAAAGAGAAGTTGGCGCCTGGGAGAAAACACAGCAACCTGGTTACCCTTTAACAGGGGATGGTTTCATCTAGCACAAGTCAACAGCAGAACCGTTTGTCCTCTATCTTCAAGTGGGGCACAGCAGCTCCCGAGTCCTTTGGTCTTGCTTAATGTGAGACCAAGAGAGGTCAAGACCAAAAGGCAGTTGGATTCCTGCTTCTGGAACCTGACAAAAACTCAAGGTGTGCTCAATGAAATCATCAAATTTGAAAGCAAAGATGTATGGAGAAATGGTGGAGTTTTTTAAGAGAGGCAAAAAGCAATCTTCTTGGAAGAAAAGCAAAAGGAGGCATGCAATGGTCAAAAGTCCTACCATATACCTGGAAACTCTACCACAATATGAAATTTGAGTGAGTTCTGCTCCTTGAAATCCCTGAAATTACATCCTAGGGATTTAAATTTCCTTTGGTGATCTCACTTTCCCCTTGCTGACCACTCACACCTTGACTCAGTTTAGCTATTCATTCCGATACAGCCACAGCAGAGGTTATTTGGCTGCAAATAGATGCAATTGTTGAGCTGACTAAAAATACAACCTGAAAAATGACTCTTCAGTTCATGTCTAGTTACCTGCAGAGCTTCAAAATCAGACCCAATCGATGTGAATGAGGCTTCAAATTTTAGCGCACTTTGTTCGGAAAGTTGCACCAAAAAGCTGGGGAGAGCAATTAGTGGCTCTAAATCCACATTTATTTATTAATGCATACTTTTATTTTTCAGCCCTGAATGTCTTTAAAAGATTTTGGCCATCCTTGAATGCCTTTAGCTGCACCGTGCATTTATAGGGCACAATGCACGTGGATTAAGGAACTTTATGTATTATCAGTAGGAGGCGTCAGGCCCTGGTTCATGGCCAACGTCGGTGATCAAATCCAGTCTAGCTGGCTTCTTCCCATTATTTCAATAAGTAAATCCCCTGCAATAAAAAGAGAGGTGGAACCTGCCAAATCTTTGCACAGGCCACAGACTCAGTTTTAGAGTAGTGTTTGCATCTCAGATAGGTTTCAACAAGATAAAACTGAATGCACACTGTCCAGGAAAGTTCAGGCCTGAACCTTACTTTGAACAGTAAAATTTGTATCTATTCATTATTGAAATCTGTTCATCAGGTCTGGACCTCGAGGTTGTATCCAAACCTGAGTTATGATTCTCTCCTTGTTCAAAACCCCGCAAGCATGTGGCTCTCCTCACATTTCCATTTGTTGATGTTAAATATCACGGGGTGGAAAAACGTGTCTCCAATAGAAAGTCAGATTTCTACTTTTCCAGAGTCTGCTTGTGGAAACACCCAGACGTGTCGCTGAGCCCTGCTGCATGGGGAAGGTCTTGTGTTATAGCACACATGCATGGAATGATCAGCTGGACCCAAGGAGATGCTCTTCTACTACGCTTTTTCATTCGGTTGACTTTTCAGCTCATAATGACCAGAGAGAAGATGTTTGAATGCAAGGTGAATAATGAGACTGGACACCATTTGTCCGTAAAGCTCAGAGAAGGAACTGTTTGACATTGGGAAGAAATAACCAGGGTTCAGCTGGTTACGGATCTGCAGCTGATAACACTCAAACTATATAAAGCATTCATGAACTTCACACCTTTTTAATTGACCGAACAAGATTAAAACTTTCAGACAGAGTGGACAGATAAGGTTGCTCGAGGTTCACACCTCTGTCAAATCCTAGGACCTTGCTCAGGGAGCACAACGCAAGCTTGTGGCAAATTAATCCATTTAACTTGATTGCAAAGTGGGCTGAGAATGTCCTCTACCACTCCATGACATGAGGCAGCAAATGAACTTGACCTAAGTTATAAACGCAAGGAAGCGGTATCTCTCCAGAGACTTCACTCATCTCTTTGTTTGGACTTTTGTGATAGTTTTTAAACCATCTTCCATGCCGTACTGGAAAACGTCATCTTTTGGTTTTGCTTGCATGTTTGAGACACTGATGGCGAGTTCCACCTTCCCCTGAAACAAGCCACACTCAACATCATCAGACACATCAATGTGCAGCATGACTGATGCTCTCTAGTAACAGCAGCTCATAAATTATGAAAAATGACTGCTACAATTAACTGAAAATCAAATTTATTTGCAATAAACAGCAGGAGATGCATCGATTTTCATATTCTATGCTCACTGTTGCCTTTTAAGCTGGAAGAACTCAAGTCAATAAAAGGAAGATAATAAATATCTGAGACTTTTTAATTCAGATCTGGTCTATTTTTTCCTGTGCTGACTTGCACGTTTGCTGGCACTCTCACTCTAGCTAAAACCATTTAAATGCTGACTTGTTTATTTACTGAATTTATTTGGTCAATTTGAAATGTTTCCCTCCTCTGCCTTCCAAACCAATGCAGGAGAGAAATTCACTTTGCCTTGTTGATGTCGAGCAAGCTAATAAGGCTCGGTTTCGGTTGGCACGAGCCCAAGCAGCACCGCAAAGTGAGGTCCATTCATGGCTTTCTGCCAGTGGAAAAAGTGGCACAGAAAGTCTGGGGTAGTTGTTAACACTCTTCAGGCCAGTCTTGGGGCTCTCAGGATAAACTGGGGCAAAATTATAAATCAAAAAATCTGTGGGTGATATATCAGAAGTAGAACTGGTTCCCTGTTGTGGTCAATCTTAACTTCTTCTCAATTAATTTCAGCCACCTAGGCCAGTGATTTTTACTATTTCTCAGTACTCTACAAAATTTTCCTAGGGAAGTATGAACCTGTGTGTAGCAAATTTATATTCCTTGTCAACAGACTGGCTTTTCTTCTTTATCTTTTGTGGGCTTCTTAGGAGAAGTCCGTGGACCTGCGTGGCCTCGTAGACCCTCAGGTTGAAAACCGCTGACCTGTACTAATTCACATCTATCCTGCATGGTGAATATATTGTATGAAGTGAGCAAACCCAGTGACCGAAAAGGTTCTCTTTTCTTTATAACTCCATAGATTCCTTAGAGAGGATGAAGTACTTCAGAGTTGCTAAGGGGGAAACTCCTTTTATGATTGCAAAGTATTACTTACAACACCTATTGGCCCTTTTGTTAATTATTGCCTGTTGCAGTTGTCCTGAAACACAAACACCAAAGCCATGTGTGCAGAGATACTTCTCCAAGTCATTTTGCTGGTGCATGCCTTCAAGATGAGTCTTGCACCAAAACCACAAGTGCATGGTGCTTGAAGAGTGAAATTAAGCAGCCCTCAAGTTAAACGAGCGCAGTTGTACGCATTCCCTTTGGGGAATCAGCTTCTCCAAACTGCAGCCTGGGTCAGCTCTTTTATGTTCAGTGTCTGGAATGCTGCCTGCTCCATTTGACTCGCTTTGCCATTTTATGCTTTTCTTGATGGACTTCTAAAAATAATTTATGTGAAACCCTGCTTGGTTTCTGAACTAAGACACTCGTGCCTCTACAGAAAAATGAAGATGAGACTATAGCAGGGGCCAGAAATCTATCTCACGTAGGCAACAGCAGCAGTGAAAATGCAACTGCACTGACTTCAGGCTAGCAATAAAAAGGAGAATATCTGGAACCTCTATCAGGACTGTGGAGCCCACACTGACCCTTGAACCTCCACATCTTCACAGATGCTGTGACTCAGATTCACTAAATGGACTCCTATATGTCCTAAAAGTGGTTCTTTATGTCTCCTCTCATACTGGAGCATGTCTCCATCTCAAATCTACAGCCTGCAGGCCATGTACAATGCCAAGGGTTGTTCATCTCATCTGCAGCTCAGTTGCCTCCCTTCTTCCAGGCTTCTTGGGTTTTGCTGTAGCCCAGATGGACAGAGTGGACTCTGTCCTGGTTATCTTCTGCCTTGGCATCCTTCTTGACGGCCTTCAGGACAGAGCAGGCACATGACACAGTGGAAAGTTCTCCTGAGCACAGGGGGTCTGGTCTCATGGTGGGAAGTGGCAAAGGGCTGTTGAAGGCAGGAGGACTAAGATACAGAAAATGTGTCTTAGTAGATGCTAATGAACACAGGCTAGTGGTATCCCACTTAAGGACATTGGTTTGCATGCATGCCATGTCTGTGCAACACAATGAAGATGTTCCTTGCTGCTCTCTTTCCTTATATCTTGGTTTTGGCCTTCAAAGGTAGCCTCCCACCCAGCCCCAGCTCTCAGCATCTCTGAATGATCATTAACTCACAGCATCTACTGAAATGTGCTCACCTGCTCGGCAGAATTCCTCGGCCTCCTGGTGCACCATGTCTTTGACCCGATTGCTATAGGTCAACCTGGAGTCTTGATCATAAGCCTTCAGGGTCTCGCTGGAGCTGTAGGACTTCTGGGGGACCTTGCTGTCCTCACTCTCAGCTGAAGAGCTGGTGTAGCGGCGCTCAGTGTCGCGGCGCCGGGTCAGAGATCGATACGGTTTCCTTTCTTTTACATCCATGGCACCCTTGTCTGAGTATTCAACATTAAAATAACGACGTCCGTGTGGCGGTCAGATTGGAATAACCTGAAAGAGAGAATAAAAGAAATAGGATCTAAATTCATGCCTTTGGGCACCTGAAGGCTAATTTGCCTTATTTATACGTTCTTGCAATGAACAAAAGAGAGGTTATTTAACGGACTGCAGGAAAACCCTCTTAGAACAATTACCGATGGAAAGCAAGTCTTAATTATGCGTGAGTCATTTAATAATTGCCACAGCGAGCGGGGCGCGCACACGCAGCAACCTGCATCTGTCTGAACTGGGCACGCACTTGGGGATTTCAAACCAATTGTGATTTTCTGTGTCTTCTTTCCACGGGAAGTGATTCAGACACTTCCAGGAGGCGCATATTCGGTACATCGGTCACCTAATCTCTGGGAAATCAGGCGGTGCTGAGACGTCTCTATTTGGGTGGCCAGGGGACTTTGGAAAAATTCATAGATTTCATAGATTTTCATAGATTTCTAGGTTGGAAAAGACCTTAGAGATCATCGAGTCCAACCGTCCCTAATCCCCATTAAACCATATCGCTAAGTAGATCATCCACCCTATTCTTAAACACATCCAGGGATGGGGACTCAACCACCTCCCTGGGCAGCCTATTCCAGTGGCTGACAACCCTTTTAGAGAAGAAATACTTCCTAACATCCAACCTGAATCTCCCCTGACTAAGCTTATACCATTCTGTACGATAGTTTTCAAAGTATTTTGATCGTGAAGGAATGAACAAAAGAATAAGAGACAGTGTAAGAAGGCAAGTGGGAAGGGAGAGTTGAGAAAGTGTAAATAAAGGATAGTGCTCTGCTTCCCAGCATAGCCTGGGATTTATGCCAGTGGGAAAATCACTATATATATGCACTGGTATGCAAACATACATACCTGCACACAGAGAAAATTGATTTGAGAAATAAAACATGCATTAAAAGTGTTTTTGTCAAAATAAATAATAAATTGTCTTTTCACATCAAGTTTATTAAATACAACAGAAGGCACAGGAAAAATAAAAAGTCAGCGGCTTGCAACAAGATGGTAAAATACGTTTTTGAATACCTAAATTGGTTTATGAGGAAAAATACTGATAAACCCCACAAACCAAGCACTGAAATCTCTAACTACAGGCTGACTTTCTCAGGAACTGAGTCTTCCTGACCTCTAAAGAAGAGAAACCGCCACACCAAGATATTATTGTTTACTACCAGTTCTTAAAAACGGAAAGGAAGAGGATCAGAAAACACCTATCAGTTCTTGGTCTTTTTCATAGCAAATCTGTACGAAAATGCATTGGCAAGGACTGAATCACATTCTGTTGGCACTTCTCTCTGAAAAGGCTAAATCCAGAACATGCTAATGAAATCTCATGGACCAGTTGGAGAGGGTCCAGAGGAGGGCCACGAAGATGATAAGAGGGCTGGAGCACCTTTCCTATGAGGACAGGCTGAAAGAGTTGGGGCTGTTCAGCCTGGAGAAGAGGAGGCTCCGGGGTGACCTTATAGCGGTCTTCCAGTACCTCAAGGGGGCCTACAAGAAAGATGGGGAGAGGCAGTTCAGGAGGGCCTGTTGTGATAGGACAAGGGGTAACGGTTTTAAAATAGAGGGAGGTAGATTCAGATTGGATATTAGGAAAAAATTTTTTACTATGAGAGTTGTAGAACACTGGAACAGGTTGCCCAGAGAGGTGGTGGATGCTCCATCCCTGGAGACGTTCAAGGCCAGGTTGGACGAGGCCTTGAGCAACCTGATCTAGTTGGAGATATCCCTGTTCCTTGCAGGGGGACTGGACTAGATGACCTTTGAAGGTCCCTTCCAGCCCTAACCATTCTATGATTCTATGATTCTATGATCTCTCTCCTCCACATCTCTTAGACCCCAACCCCATTTCAGATGCCGTTCCCTGGGTTTGTGTTGTGGCACAACACAGCTATGCTGCAATAGTCGAGGATGGATGCGTGGGGAGCTTTGCAGGTCGGTTTAAAGGGATGTGGTGTAACATAGAGTTTGTGGCTCTCCAAACTATGAGCCTGTGAAGGCTGGAAGACTCTCAGCACAGGTTCTGAAAATCTGCAAATCAAAATACTAATGCAGAAGCTGGAAGATAATATTTTATTATGACTTCCTTACGTGCCAAGTTCTCTGGCATAAGGATCACTAAGCAAATTCTTGAGTTGAAGAGAGGAGATACACCTGAAACTGGGGAAAGAAAAAGAGGGTCCAACTCCTATTTCTGCAATTCTGGCTTCACTAAGACTGCTTTCTGGGTTTTGTGCCTTTAACCTCCAAAATGAACTTTGCGATGACAGAAGTCAATTCCTACGGCCTGTACAGTTTCTGTGGCACTCCATGGAAATTAAGACACTGCTTCAAAAAAAAATCCACTTAATTCTCTCCCAATCTATTCCAGTGATGGCAGCAGACCAAGTTCACACTTCTTATTTGTCAGCAAAACGCATACAAACCATTGAACACAAATGGAAGGGGAGGCGGTTTTTATAATGGAGTTTTACTTAAGTCATCCACAGAGATCTGAGCACCACTTTGATTTTAAACATGTGCTTAAAGCCACCAACCTCAGTGACTTAAATTCATTCATGAACTAAGTTCAATGCAGTGAATACAAATGGGATTACTCACCAGCCAAAATGTACACGTTAAATGTTTTGCAGAGTAAGAGCCTGAAAGATGCAAAAACTCAGGCCTGAATGTAGAAGCAATAGGTAAGGAGCTGGTATTATATTAAGGATATATATTATATATATAATTATATATATATTATATATTTCTTCTCTGAAAGGGTTGTCAGCCACTGGAATAGGCTGGCCAGGGAGGTGGTTGAGTCCCCATCCCTGGATGTGTTTAAGAATAGGGTGGATGATCTACTTGAGGATATGGTTTAATGGGGATTAGGGATGGTTGGACTCGATGATCTCTAAGGTCTTTTCCAACCTAGAAATCTATGAATCTATGAATCTAAGGACCAGTTTAACATAGTAACAGTGTGTAAGAGACCTACCAAATATTGGTACATATTTTGCTATATTGAATCAAACGTATTGGTAATTTCACAAAGGAGCGAGCTAAAAGAAATAGAACATCTGATTACTCTTCAGTGCACTGTCTTCCTTCCTTAGAAAACCAACTTTTTTTTGCTTGAAAAATTGTGATTTTTTTTTTTTTGCAATTGTTACTGAATAGGTTTGCCTCCTTTATACCATCTCTGTTTGTGTGAAATCCTCAAAAGGAGCAGGTTTGTTACACCTTTTAATGCAACATCTTAGAACAGGCTCCTTCACAACGGCGCTGTAGTAAGAGCTGTTATGATGAACACTGAAATTGTGGTTTATTGTCATGGGGGATGGAGACAGCGAAACGTGAGCGAGAAGCGGTTGCTACACCCTACAAGAAAGAAATGAGGTGGCTTCCATCTGCTCATGATGGATGTTCAGTCCCCATCCCTGGATGTGTTTAAGAAAAGGGTGGATGAACTACTTAGGGATATGGTTTAATGGGGGATTAGGGACGGTTGGACTGGATGATCTCTAAGGTCTTTTCCAACCTAGAAATCTATGGATCTATGAATCTATGAATCTATGAGTATTGCAGCAATTCCTACCAAGGGCCAGTCACGTAAAAACCCACTAGCAGGTGAGGCACACGTGCCAAGAAAACCTTTCTGCACAGTTAGAGCCACAAGGTACAACCAGGGGCTGCAATTACCATTAGTAACCTTGCAACTTAGGAAATGGCCAAAAAAATATCAGGAAATCAGCTGTATTCCCACCAGATGAAGGTTTTTCTTTTCGCAGAGAAAGGTGCTGAAAACCTGAAATTCCTCCTACAGTTCATCAAAAATAGCCCTGTAAATTTGCGCCATTCACATACACATTCCTCTCTAACAATGCTTCAATTCCCAATCCATTCATGTCTTTATAAATTTAACTCTCCTTGGCTCTTTCTTTCTCTCTCTCTCTTGCCACTTCTAAGGAGATGTGTTTCAACTAGAAAGGTCACCCTCAAAACACATAATGAAGATTTTTTGATTTTATTTTTTTTAAAAAAAGAAAGAATGGTTGCATTTAACTGACTTAAGTAAGTTTCCAGGACCTCTCCATGGACATGCAGTTCTTGTTACCTCATTTTTATGGCCCAATTCCCAAATGGTTTCGATACCTTGCCTTCAATGGAGTTGTGTTGTTATGGAATTTGCCTTACAGTGTTTCTGTGATAGATTATTATTTTTTAGCTGCTACTCCTTGTGTCTTGATTTCACTTCTGCTACAATTTCATCTGTGCCATCAACACCTCACATTTTTCCCAACTTCTCTGGCACACGACGAATACAAAGAATCACACTCGTCTCAGTTACATACTCAACCACCAGGTTTTTTCCTCCTCTAACTCATGATTGCTCTTCATAATTTTAAAATCTTCTATAAACTTGGTGAATCTGAAATAAAAAACCCAAGGCTTCTAATATTGTCCTTTCCATCCCCTCACTCTTTCTCCCTCCATAAGTACAAAAGCCTTCTGCTCTAAACCATTTCTGTTTAAAAAGGACTTTCTTGTCCTATAAGACAGTATTTCTGGCTCGGTTTGATTCTTTCATCATACTGCTGTCTGCATGACATATCAAATGTCACTTTGCTTTTTTTTTTTTTTCTCCAGGCCCATTAATGGCAATAGCCATTCTTATTTTTGTCAGCCCTCTGAGTGTACAATCCCAGCTGGACCACAAGCTGGTTTGGAGCACAATTCACAACAGAAGCATCCTTCAGGCGTTACTTATTCAACTCAGAAAAATCCCACTGACCCCAGAAAGGGTTGCTCACATGCTAAAGCCTGTAAAATCAGACTCCTTGACACAGTTATGTATTTCAGAGGTGTGGGACTCTTCTTGCATCCTTGAATATATGTCCAGAAGCGGAACAAAAGAATCGGCTTTCTCGTTCTGATGCAGTGGTGCAGTAAATGCGACGCTTATTTGCAGCTCTTTTTATTTTGCTTTTGCTTTGGTTGGCTCCCAAATAATCCT